GGCGTTGATTGATTGATCCAAAATGTGACATGGCCCAAAGAGTTCAAATCCCTGACCTCAGCGTAGAGAAAAAAATGTAGTTATCAAGACGAATTTAAAAAAAAAAACTAGGATATCTAAAGGCATGGTACGTGGAATTAGAACAGTCTGCCCCCGTGGACTATACAGTGTGCGATGATTAAATTGCCGTTAAAATTAGGCAAAAATGAAAATAACACTGACATATCATTTTAACAGATATATTTAGCAAAATTACGCAAAAATCTCTTGAAATACTAAAGAGCACATTTATTCAATAAAATTGCCATTGGCATCAACCACAGCCTCCAGACGACATCAGAATATCCTTCAACTCTTCTGGATGGCCTCCTTGTTGAAGTTGGTGAATACGGCCATAATCGTTGCCTTCATTTCATCTTTGGTGTTACAAGGAATTTTGTTGGTCTCTCGCTCAAAACATAATAATCAAGGGAGTTGCAGTCTGGAGAGTTAGGTAACTAGATGTAAGTCGCAGAAATTGTCTGACAGCCATGACTGGATTCTGCTGTTTGTGTGGAATGGTGCAGAGTTCTTTTGCCAAACATAGGGTCTTCCAGCAGCCAGCCTCTTGACCCAGAGCAGCACAACCTCTTCAAGTTATTTGATATAGGCCACCGTGTTGAGTCTGAGACCCTGTAGGAAAATGAATGGAGGCATAACGTCGCAATCACTAGTGGTCACTCCAGTTACCATGATATTGACTGGATATATCATCCAACTATTTCCATATCCTCTGCACTGTCCTCAGATTGACATCCAGTCACTCTAAAATGTCCATATTGGAGCTTCCGGTGCAAATTCCATTGAATACAGCATTCCGTTTCTAAATCTCTGGTGGAGTTAATTGCATTGGTGCTCTTTTTCTCATAGACGGTGCCCAATTTGCAGTCGACAAAATCAAAAACAAACAACACGCATGCGCGAAATCAAGAATGTAAAATGGCGACAATTTACACATTGTACCCTGTATAAATGGTTCGGTTCCATAATTCTAACAAATATCACCTGAAGAAGGCTGGAGCGTATAACGTCCGAAACGTTGTGAATGTGACAGTAAAGATGGAGATAACAGTCTGAATAATGTAAATAGTGTAAATACTTACCTATTTTGTTAAATGTCGTAGCCCTTCAGGAATGTATGTGACAATGGCCCTCTAGAGATTTATTTTCTTATCTGCTTATTTATATGTGTTCATGATTTCCCACTGTCTTCTCCACGGGTCAGAATTCACTTTTCCATCTCTTAGACTGATTGCTACACAAGAATAAAAAGACCAGTCTACGCTTCTATTTAATACAGATTTCTGGAATGCTATCCCAGTTCCCAGTGGCATTTGTGTGGAAGTCAATGGTTAAGCTGGAATTTGAACTCGGGTCGCCGATTTTCACTTTCCACACCGATATACTTTACCCCCACCCGCACATTTTTATGTATTCTCGGCTCCAGTATAAGCTTTATTTTATGATTTTTTTTTTTTTTTTGCCTAAAAAGAGGATGTTCTGTGTCAATATGAGTTTAAGCTTTTGGAAAGTGTTTTAACAGAGAATGGAAAATGCAACACTGAAATCCGAATGTGCATCAGAATAACGTATGATGCCTCCTAGAAGCTAAGCAAATTACTAGGAAACAGGAAAATTTCGTTAGAAACAAAGAAAAGAGTACTGAAAGAGGTAACAGAAATGTCGTTCTACAGAAGGATACTGAGAATGCTATCGATGGAGCGTGAAAGAAATCTAAATGGAAACAAAATGAACAGACACACCGAATCAGAAAGAGATGAAATTTCTTAGACATGCGGAAGGAACTCTTGGAGAATTTGATACTCAAATGGCATATTAAAGATAAAATTGGCAGCGTGAAGTGCCTAAATGACGAATTTGTGTGAATATATGGCAGGACGAGATAGAAAGAGGGGGGTGGTTGGCAAAGACAAAATTTATTAATGCACAGGGTTTAGCTGAAAGATAAAATTTATTAAGAGCTACAAAGGAAAGAAGTTTGTGGAAAGCCATGGTCGACCACGTCCTGAAGGGACACGGCACATAGAAGAAGCATACGTACTGTTAAGTGTATTTGTTTTTAAAAAATCACTACTAATCGTGATGTCACGGCTTATATAAGCAACTAAGAATAACCAATTTTCTTTCTCTCGAAATTCGGTAAATCAGAGATTAATTGACTTAAGAGTCTTTAAAAAAAATAATGGAAGTAAATGTTTTATGACAGCGGTTTGATTCTTAAGTGAATCTTACAAATATCATGGTGATTTTTATATCGCCTTTGTTTCAACGAATCGATAATGAGTTGTGTGTCTAATCTTTTGTAATAACTTAGTTTCTCTCAAAACTTCAAACATGTCTACCCGGCCAATTGTTTATCTCCAATCAAATAAGTCAGTCAAGATGAAAAAAAAAACATGAAATTGTTTTATTTCATTAAATAATAATGTTGATAATAATAATCTTTAAACGGATAAAAGAAATAAATTGTCATACGCAGAATTCAATTTGTTTAATCCCTTTGTCTTCTGAGATATTTGAACTTTTCTGCTGATACAAAACAAATGTAATTTACGGGCATGCTACTAGAAAATAAAAAGTCGGTGGGGACTAAATCAGATGTTAAAGATTCCTGGTTCAATTTTTTTTTATCTGATCTTCTCATAATACGTATTTTTTTCTTTTTTAGGCGTTCTATCATTTTTGTTTTGATTTCAAATACAATTTTATTTGCTGTTCGTTTGGACATATTTATTTATATTTTTCGCATATATGACTAATATTTAAAAAAAAAGAGATAATATACAACTATCATTCATTTTTTTTTTACTATTGTTCACCTAATACGAGACCCGAGAGCCACTCAAGGTAGATTGTTGTTTTTGAATTGAGGACGCGTTCTATAAGGATACGTAGGAAAGATAACGCTTGAACGTACACTTAAAAAGGTTGTAGTGATCGAGAAAGCATCTTTTTAAGAGACTGTTTCACAGAGTAGAGGTTCCTACAAATGAGGATGATTCGGCCAAGTGTATGGATCTTAGCTATAAATGTCAGAGTTGGTGTGACTAAGGAATTTAGCTTGTCAGAACAATTTCCATTGAAGTAGAGTTAGTAGTAGGAGGAGGAGGTTTGCAAATTTTCCGTCTGTGGGAGAAAAGTTTTAGATTAGAAAATAATTACTACACCCACATGACGCTTCTAAACTACAGGGTGTCCCCAAAACATTTGACATCATTTTAAAAGCAATTATTTTGAAAGCTATTAAGTCTAGCTCAATGAAATTGAACAGTTAAGGTGTTGAACATCATAAGATTATTATGGGACCGATTTCGTAAGTGTTCAATATGGGCACTGCCTGTGACACGGCACATATCAAGTCGGTAGTTAAGCTCTTGCCAAACACGTTGATGTTGATGATTGTCTGCCAGATCCTTTAGCCCTGCATATGCAACATTCCTCTTTAGATTTTTGGTACCAAGTTCAAATTTGTTTGCCAGTTGGTGAAGTTTTTCTAAATTTTGCATTGAAGGTACGCTGCACAAATCTTGGCTGCGAGCATATTCCAAGACGCAAAATGATTTCTCTTCCAGAGTGAACGGCATTGCTCAACCTGAAAACAGAACGAAAATAAAACATTAAATATAAAACCTTGATCTGTTTCTATACCTTCTATAAAAATTTGAGGTTATTTCAACAAAAATTGCCCAAATTATTGGCCTGCGAAATAATGTCAAATGTTTGGGGACTCGCTGTATATCAAGACTGGAAAGTAAGAAAGGGGAAGCTCCAGCCAAGTTATATCAGCAGTACTCCTCTTATTTCTAGTCTGGCTCTTAAACATAAAGCAGAGGAGGAGGAGGAGAATTCAGGTACACACTGGGTAGATATGAAGAACTGACCATTTTTTCCAGCAGCTTTAACGATGGATTGCATACATGAGTTCAACTTGAGTTCTTGTGTTCTTGTAGGTGTTCAAAATAAAACTAGGAATTAAGAGGTACACTGCCTCGGGAAACAGCAGTACCTCCCTCATTTCCCTAAAGAGGGTGTCCGTAGTAACATCGGCGCCAGTGCGACCGACGCTTGCAGGACCAGGCAATTTTTTTACCCTGGTCCGGTTTCACGCACTCGACCCCATGCACAGTAAACTAACCTCGTGTCGTATCCTTCCACCGTGGACCTGAGGGGTAAATAAAAGTAGGCACCAAAGTAAGGAGCCTACTCAAGAGAACGGCCATTCGTCATGCGATGATGAATATTCAAATCTGCTCGTTGATGATGCTCCTTGTTCGTTTGATTTTGGAAGTACTGAATCTTATAAGCCTGTTTTTTTATTGAATGTTATAAGCTTGTCTTTTTGCCGTTCATCTGTGATAGTTAGGTCTTCCGTGAAGTACGGTTGAACTCTATTGTGGATTAAGTGCAGATCTCCTTGAGTGACCGTGCTCTACTTGGCCCACCAGATATCAGGACACCTTCTGTAAGTGTAATCAACAAGTGTAACTCACGAACCATTTCCCTTTATTCTACAGTTGATCCTCACTGGATTTCCTTTAGATTGAATATCATCAGATTGAATATCATCGAATAACCTTCAGCGAATTAAGCCATTATTTAATCTACGGCGGTAGAATTTTGTCTTTCCACTGACCATGTGTAAGGTTATCTCGTCTAGTTCTTAGTACTGCAAGATCATTATTATTATTATTATTATTATTATTATTATTATTATTAATGCCAACTATTTAAGGTAATATTAGCCGTTTCCTTACAAGGAAATATTCAGCATTCATTGATCGTATAGCCAGTGCTACTCTCGGTTGAAATCATTCTATTGAAACAATTCTTCAGAAAAACAGGTTTCTCAAATCCAGTAACCGTTATCGATATTTCCAGCATTGATGGGAGCTTCCTTCCTAAACTTTTCTTTGAAGTTATGCGAATCCGTAAGCTTACGGTCAAAACAGCGGTTCTCGTTTGATCACCAAAGTTAAGCAGTGTTGAGCCCGGTTAGTACTTCAAATCGAAGACCACTTGCGAACACTACGTATTGTAAGCAAACGCCGATCACAAAACATGGGGCTAGAAACTTTATCCCGTAAAAATTTTGCCTGATATGGTAAATCAAAGCAGCCACGCTTGGTGTTACTGAGAGATGTGGCCAAATTACTTCTCAATGGAGTCTACAAGATTAAAAAAGAAAGTCGGGGAGTGTTGAATATCCACATCTTGATTATGCCATTATTTTTTTCTTCCAATTACATGCGATATCCATTTCAGTTGTTGCTGTTGTTGTGAGTCAAATGACGCGGTTTCTATTATTTTGGTAAAATTCTTAAATATGATAAGTAAACGCATTTCGTACACCACTAATTGCCACAGTTCTATGGATTCCTACTAGCCTAAGCTGAATAAATAATTAATATGTTTTAAATTTACTTAAGATGTGCTTAATTAATATACCCTTTCCCAAATTCGTCCTGGGTACGACAATCTAACAGCAAGGCTTAAAATCAGGAGATTGGGGGTTTTATGAGCGTGGAGCCACCATCTAACTGCTGTTGTTCCCAGGTCCACCCAAACCCAGCGTGGTAGCACCTGTTAGGGTCCCAGTTATGGGTAAATAGTGAACCCTCTAACAAAAATCAACAGTACATTTTTATAATTACTAACAATACATTTTTATAGTACAATTACCAGCAATACATTTTATCATCTATAAACTATATATCTTTAAAAAATCTATAAACTATATATCTTTAAAAAATCTATAAACTATATATCTTTAAAAAATCATACATAAAATTATTAAAAGTATTAAAATTATGTACAAAATATTTGTAGTTGAAAGCATAAAATTAAATACAAAATATTTAGATTTCGGCATTAAATAACCCATAGAGATGTTGATATGCGGCTAAACAAAATCAACAAATCAATCTTTTCCTTCCTTACGGTTAAACTCCTTTGTATGATATAGGGCCACAGCTTCATCACGCTAAATACGGCTTTTATGGTAAGTAGGTTTTTACGGATTGGAATTGCTCGTCCCCTACACCCAACAGGTTTTCAATTCAAAATTGTTTTCTCCCTAGATAGTTTACTAACCAAGGTGAGAGAGCCCAGTCTGACCTGATATTTAAATCATAGCTGGATGGCAAAGAATCGGATTCTTACCTTTCCCGAGCGCATTAGTACGAAAGGGTATCGGTAGTTTGTCTTATCAACACCAGTGTGGACTGAGTTCGTGTCTCTACAGATATGGAGGGGATGGACAAGAACGAGAATTTAACCGTGAACATACATACATACATACATACATACATACATATATATATGTGTGTGTGTGTGTGTGTGTGTGCATTTGTGCAGCAATGTGTTGTGTGTGTTTTGACGACAAACGACTGACAAGGCGATAAGTTTTGACAAACGATATATATATATAGGTTATATATATATATATATATATATATATATATAATCAAACATATTTTGTCAGTCGTTTTCAACGAAACTTATATGCAATTTCAAACATTCGTGGATAAGAGGAAAAATATTGTACTTATTTTCTAGGAAGTGGAACCCTTTTCATTTGAAAGATTGGCGCAACATAATCTTTCTATTTGGTTATCGTAAGAAATGTTAAAGTTGAAAAATTACGTGATCAAACTTAAAAATGTCTCTTTGGAAAATAAATTAAAATATCTATTTTTGTGTGAAAATATCATGATTCGATGAAATTTCAAGAAAATTTAAACAAGTACATAAAAACTATTAAGAACTCTAAAAATATTTGTCTAGAGCAGACAAATCCCAAAACATTTATAAATGTATCCCCTCACATTATCATAAAATTCTCACTAACAAAATAAGACATATAAACTAGATAGATATAACAGAATGATCTCGGACATCGACCATGAGACTGCCAACTTCGCAAATAATTTAAATATTGCAGATAGAATGGGGAAGGTCTATATCAAAGATACATACCTTTTATTTAAGGATCACAAACTTAACTTCGCTAATAACATGCAGTCTAGCTGAATAAATCCAACAAAAACTGAACTAGGTCTAATCTCAAAAGATATAATAAAAAAAAATAACTGATAAATTACTAATCACAACCTGTACTAATCTCTGGAAAGATTCGTCGGATACAATCAAATGGTTTTGTCAATATGGTGATAAGGAAAGAGTTACATTTATCAAATTTGTCATCATAGATTTGTATTCCTCCATCTCCAAGGATCTCTTGGTAAATTGTATTAACTTTGCAAAAACTATGTGGCGATCATTGACGAGGAAACTAATATCATCCTAACAGCTAGAAATAACTTCTAGCTCTTAACAATTCCACCTGGGCTAAGTGTCTTAATGACAATTTTGATATCCCAATGAGTGCATATGTTTCAGCCCATGTTGCTGATTTAGTATGTATTTATATTTTAGATACCGTTAGTAGAATAGTAGATCCCAAACAGATAGACCTATACGATGATGGACTCGTTTTCATCTCCAATAATAATGGTCCACTACGCACGAAGTTATAAAAGAAAATCATTAGGGCCTTTAAATTACTAGGGTTTAGGATTGAGATTTACTCTAACCTTAAAATAGTTGATTATCTAGACACTGACCTTAACCTCAATAATAAAACGTTTAAAGCATGCCACAAAGACAATGAAAACCCCAACTATATTAATGTTAATTCTAACCACCCCAATGCCATTATAAAACGGATACCTACCACCGTAGTCACTAGAATTAGTCTATTATCATTCAACATAAACATCTTTAATAAAAAAATTAAAAATTGCATGAGTCAACGTGCGTGAAAATATGTTTGCGTAAGTATGGATGGCGTTCCGACGACAATTTTTCCTCCCACTTCCATAAAAACACCGCTATACGCAACCATATATAAATTCAAAATTAATCAGTTTGTCTGACGATCGCAAATAGCGTGAAACCCAGGGTCACTCACATCAATCCGACTAAATATGTTAGCTCTATCACTGATATTGAGAGCTTTCTAATAAGTACCGCGCATATATAATATATAAATAATATATATAAAATTGCATATATATATATACACACACACACACACACACACACACACACACACACATATATATATATATATATATATATATATATATATATATATATATATATATATTAATAGGAATAAACAGCTCTTAAAATGAGTTTACTGTAGATGCACACCGAAAAGCGAAAGTGCCCATGCCATATAAAATGGCAAACCATTTCTAAATTATAACTTGAATTTCTGGCGTACCGTGACCGGCCCCAATTGTCATGGTTTTACGCCTGACGATCGCATAAAACTGACAATTGTGGTCGGTAACTATACACCAGAAATATAATTTGTTTTCACTCTTTTCGCTCTCTCTCTCTCTCTATATATATATATATATATATATATATATATATATATATATATATATATATATATATATATATATATATTAGGTAAAATAAGATATTCAATATGTTGGCAATTCCTATTATTCAGTAAATCCTTTTTATTTATCATAAAACACACAGACATAAATTCACACACACATTATATATATATATATATATATATATATATATATATATATATATATATATATAACACGGGTTGGTCATTTAGTCAGAATAGTTGATTGTAAGACTCTGAAGCAGCTTCTGTATACATACACACACACACACATACATACATATTGAAAGGATTTTTTGATCTGTCATTATTTCTTGTTGCTATAAACGCTAAGATTTCGTGTCTGTACGTGATTGAGTTGCTATCTGTGATTTTTTTTTTTTTTATTGCCTTTTAATAATTTTTTTTTTTTTTTTCATCAGACAAACCGCTTTTTGTCTCAGTGTGAAAAAAGGAAATGCTGGTTCGATTCCTATGGGAGGCAACATTTTTCTTTATTAAACGTCACAATTTAGGTTGTTATTAATTTCACATTTTTAATAAAATAAAAACGAGGATAGAAACTCGAATATGTGTTCCTCTACCAAAATAACATTTATAGTAATATATATATATATATATATATATATATATATATATATGTGTGTGTGTTTTGTTGGTTTTCTTTACACTTCTATTCGTCTTGAAAGAAACAATGGTAAATAATGAACTGTACCCATTTTTAGTATGGGATCGAAATATAAAAAATCTCTTGATAGATATATATTTATATTATCTATCTATATATATATATATATATATATATATATATATATATATATTTATAAAATGTCCATAAAAATTATAACGTTCATGATCTTTCATGATGATGTTGAATTACAGTTCAACATTTCACTTGATAAGACACTGATCTTGTGTTGAAAAAAAAATGGCTATTTTTGTAGTGATTTTATAACATCTTATGTTATATTTTTTTATAAATATTTAATTATATCTATTCTACTTAATATTGAGCACTCTTTTTAAGAATAGTAATTGTTGGTTATTGAAATTCATTTAATATATATATATATATATATATATATATATATATATATAAACTCTATTTAATGAATGATGAACTCTCCGTCTAACTCAATTTTTTGCAAGATATTTTATACAGAATTTTTATAATTATCGCTCTATTTTTAATTGACCACATTTTTGGTAGGGTTTTTGTAACATATGCTGAATTGTTTAATTTGCTGTACATTATTTACTAGTATTACAAACTAGCATATATATAATTTACAATTTCGGCACAAAATGCTGATAACATGCAGTAATTTATGTAACGCATAGAAAATTCATTCAGAAATTTCACATTTTTTATTTAAAGGCATATCTGAGATACTACTCTTGTATCTTTTCGACTATTATTAAATAATAATTTGTTTATCTCTGGGGTTGATTGAAACTACGGATACAAGGAAATATCGTATTCGACATTATTCCTTCTACCTGGGTTCGAAACCGTAGCTTCTGATCCATTAGGAAATACTCTTCTATTTGAACTGAGATATATATATATATATATATATATATATATATATATATATATATATA